ATTCATTGTATATATTCATGGATACCTCCACAAAGGAGCACAAAACACTCTGTACTGATTTTTCCTTCATTTCTTGCATTTTTATTTCTCTATATATTTTCAGAAAAGAGAGAACAAGATATACATTCTATTCCATAGCTATTCTATTACTCAAAAATTAGTCTGATTTTGTAAAACACAAATCCTGATTATAAAAAGCCCAAGAAATGAATTTTGACTTGAAGTGCTGAAGAGGCTTCAAGGGGAAGCCTTTACTCACTAGACACCTACGATACGAATGCTACATAATATAGGGAGGTGCAGTTGTCAATAGAGCCAGTTGCACCAAACCCCCTAACAAGTCTTGTTCTTGTCCACAGATTTCTGCACGCACTTGTCTTATGTCTCACTTTTGCTTTTCCATTTTAGATCACGAAACCCTGCACAGGCTTCAGAAGTCAAGCATGCATCATAAGACTTTTCATGGGCTTCTGCATTTCTGCCAGACCCTTCACTGTGGCCAAATTCTGGCTAAGGTGGTCAAAAAACTGGAAAGAAGGGCCTCGTAAATAAGATACAGTAAGCTGAAAAGAATCAGAAAACTTTTTCAGCTAGAGAGCTAAAGAAGTTGGATCTGTCTCTTTTAATGCAGATTTTTACCTCTTTAGCCTTTTATAAGCTCTCAGTGCTGTTAGTCCAAGCCTGAAGAAAGTATTTGAGTTTGTCTACCAAGTTTTGCAGAAGCAGGCAGAAAATGAGCTACTGTTTACTATCATGACTCTTCTAAAGGCTTTCCTTAGGGACAAAGCCAATCTTTCAGGCAATGAGTACTGCCAAAGCTTCTGATATCTTGTAAAGAAGACTTTGACAAGCTATATGGGCCTCAGAGGGAAAAAAAAAAAAAAGAAAAAAGTGCTAAAAGAATTTGATCTGATGGGGAAAAAGAATGCTTTGGCTTGAGGAGTTGTTTCTGAAGAATAGCATGGTTCTTTCTCTTTTGAGACACTGTGTTGGTTTAGGCCCTGCCGGGACCGGAGACCATGATGCTGTTGTCCCTCCCCCACCCTCGGACACAAGTAGGGCACAAACCCCGGGTTAAAATAAGAAGAAATTTAATACAACAGTGTAATAAGCAATCTGAACAACAACAGTAGCAATGATAACAACAATAAACAGCAATAACAGTGAACAAGACAAAAGATATACAGAGAAATACCGCAATGGTTACAGACAGCCCCATGCTCCCTGCGACCAAAGCCACAAAGGAAAAAATTCCCGCGCTCCCGCACCCGGACCTGACAGACCTGACATCAGCATGGTATGAATAACCCAGCTGGAGATCCCTTCCCCCTCCCTGCTGGGGAAACTTAACCCTCTCCTAGCTGAACCAGGACAGACAGAGTTGGAAATTCTCTATAGAAAAGCACCAATAGAACTGTCATTAGTTTTTCCTCATGGATGTCTCTGGTGAAGATAATTTGGGTCTGGATAGCATGTGAGAGTAGAGCTGCTCGACTGAGGCATGCACCAAATTACCTAGTACTATCAAGGATGGGAACCATGAGATGGTGGGCAGGACAGAAAATAACAAGAAATGGCTCCTCCTGTTTCCTACATCTAACTTAATTCCTCAGCATAAAAGCCCGATATGAGGAATATGAGTCACACGACTCTGATTTATAAATTTTCTTGACTTCTCACTGTTAACATGCAAGGCTAGGAAGGAGCATAATGAGAAAAAGCTCAAGATAACCTTTGTGGGAGCTAGTTCAAGAAATAGAGATTTCTTATCAACACTGCAGAGGATCCCAATATCAAAATGCTTAGCACTGAAGTATAAATTTTTGCTGAGAGAAAAAACTCCACTTGAAGGGTAAAGTTAAATTTCTGTTGCTATAAACTTTATAAAGAATACCGATACCAAGTATAACAAATTAGAATTTGTTGTCACTCAAGTAGGTGATTTTATTATGACTTTTACCGAAAGGACAGCAATTCAAAGACCTGGAACAGAGAGTGTAACGGGAATTGGAAAGATGATGTCAGGGAAAATATCCAGGGATTGTAGTGAAGAAAGCTGGTGGCTGAACCATAAACGGTATCAGGGTGTCTACAGGTCAAGCCCTAAGCCATTTTTTAACTTAAAATAAGAGGAGACCAAGGACTCCTACCTATCATATTCAAGAACGTCAGTAGCTTCCTTCTACATTCTTGTAAAGTCTTTTTGTACTACTTGCCTCTCACACGAGTATCAGTAAAAAGACCTGCACATGAATACCGTAAAAGCTACTTAAATTGGCACTTTGATAAACAGCAAGTCTCTCTGCTGTCAAAGAATGCATTCAGTGCAGCACACTGCAGTAACTCAAGCAATAAGCACATCACATCTTGTCAAGTGACTGTTCTGCTGCAGTTGTTTGCAAGCCCACTTCATTCACATGTCAATTAGAAATGGCAAAAAGGCTCCTTTGCTGTTAGACCCTATGTTATTTTACATGAATCTACCATTTTATCAGAGCTAATGAGAGTTTCTTTCATTACTGTTTCTTGTAATCTATAGGCACAATGATTACTTTCTGAGCAATTCATGACATGAGTCTCCCTCATCAGAATCTATTGCTGTTAGCATCTGAAAATGGTGCAAATCCCAAAACTTCATACTTCTTTTTCTACAGTGACTTGCAACCTAAACAGATTTTACTGCACTTCCACATTGCCTCCTCTGCTCTTCTTTTGTTTCCTCATAAGAATTCCAGCTACTCTGTTTCTGGAAGACAAAACCCTCACATTCTCTCTTTCATTAGAAGCTGTCATCTGGAAGACCCCACCATAAGTTTGTGGCTTCCTGAGTAAAACTTGAAAAGCACAAGCCTTAAGTTGCACTGCTGTGTGGATGACGTACAACATATTATGTGAAGTTTGCTGAGGGAAAAGCAGAGCAGCTGAGGCTTCATGCATCATTCTGCAGCGAGATGTACTGCCTTTTGCCACTGAAAACTCCCCCACTGTGCCCTCTGTGCAGATTGGCCATGTGTAAGAGTCTGCAGGGATTTCCTTATGTATGTGTGCGCTGGGTACTGTGCTCACTCACTTGTTTCTTAACACCCTAATTTCCAAGCAATTAATATGCTTGCTCACCTTTACATATTTAGAAAATGACAAGGTCATAGCATGTTTAGGAAAAAGGACAATAACATGAGTAGATATTCTGACGGACTTCTTTAAAGTAGCAATTATAGTGAACGAGAGGAGATCTGTACCTTTATTTACCAAAAAAAAACCCCAACCCAAACAAACCCAAAACATCCCCCCTCCTTAATTTGTTATCTTAATGAAGGTAACTTGAAAATGGTTCATGAGTACTGTCTGCTGGAAGTTCAAGATAGAAGTTGGGTTGGTATTTTGGTCTACAGTCCCAGCTGACTGTCCTCATTCAGGAATGAAATTACTAGGAAAGTGTTCCAAAACCAGGAAGTCTAATGCATTAAATGTGAATTACTGTAGTTAATCAGGTTTTTCATTAGCATAATGCTGTTTTATAAACTATTATGAAATGTGACATTTCCAAAGGATCATATAACTGCACTTCCAAATTTTTCAGCATTTAACCACCACTACATGTTTATCCTATCAGAACCAACAAACTGTGGAAACCATGAAACAGCACTGGAAAAACAGAATTTGACTGAAGGAAGTGATTTAACTGTACCTCAGCCCTAAAGGCAATAACCACAAAGTTTAAATAGTTGAGGTTTATCCTGTAACCATAAGAACATAAGGTGAAGGCTGTAAGATTAGTGGGCATTTGGACTAAATAAACTCACCTTCCAACTAGGTGGCACAACATTATGCATTTTTTAATTTTTGTAAGTACTGTCCATCAGAAGGAAAAGAAAAGCAAGCAGAGTGGCAGGCTGTAAGACCTGCTGACTGGTTGCACAATAAAGCCTAAGCCTTGAAGTGAAACCCTCGGAGCTGCTGCATCTTGAAATATCATAATACTGAACAACATCTATTTGGAGAAAATCTGATTGGTATTTCCCTTGAATACACGGTGCGTTTGGCACTGTAACTTGTTTCAATCGGTGATTGGCATCAATGTTGTTGTGATTGCATTCATTTTCTTTAGAGGATTCACTTAAATAATTACTAGTATTAACTGTTTGAACTTATTTTGTATTCTGATAACATCCACCATATTGTTGGCACTGTCCACCCATGCAAGAGAAAACCGTACTTTTAAAAAGAGTCTGCAATCTGAGATCAATTGAATGTTGCCATATTGCAAAGAAAATTTGAGTTCAGGAATAATACACAGCATTATGATTATCAGATCAGTACCCAAATTAGACCGCAATAACTCTTGGAAGGCAGGAAATTACTGAATCAAGATAAAAGCTCAAGATATATTAACCAGTACATTCTAGAAAAGAAGCACAGATATTTGGGTTTTTAAGACACTGAAATCTTTATTAATAAAACTAGGGTTTCAGTGGTGCTGAAAGCAATGAGTTTCAAAGGGAACCGCACATGTAAATTCCTCTGCCTTATTTGAAAATTCCAGCCAACAGCAGCAATCATGTTTGGTTTAAATCATCATATCATTACAGGAAACAATCCATTAGTCTTTCATTCCAGGCAAGAATGAAGTCTGGGTGAGGGAGCAAACATTGTGGGAACATGGATATATGCAGGTGATTTATGGGCATGTGCTGAGCTAATGAAGAAAGTGAAGTTCAGAACAACACCAACAGCAGTGAAGGCAAACTAGATCCTGGAAGGATGGCAGTGACTATGCAGATTACAAGAAACAATAAGCAATTATAATCAACCTTCATCCTCTGTGGAAGCAAGCAGGCACTCAGTCTGTAAAGAATACCTTACTATCCACTTCTTTTTGTCAAAGGGATTATTTGGGGTTTGATTTTGTGTGGTTTTTTTTTTTTTTTTGCTGTGTTCTGCACTTTTTCTAATCCATCTTCTTTGTTTGAATATTGGTAACACATAAATATGCTACTTACTCCCTCATGTGTTTCAGTTTGGTCTCAGCCATAGTGCTGTTGAGAGCTCTGAATCCCTGGGGTGCCCTTGGAGACATTCCGGTGACAGTCCCCGAGCCTACAAATCAATGCACAGACACATAACCTTATTCACCTTCATCTCCAGAGCTCTATTGCAGAGTCAAGGGCAGTCAGAAGAAGGAAGACTATTCCTGTTTCTCACAAGGTAGTGCCACATTAATTAAAGATGAATTAGGTTATTAAATGCACATTAAGGGCAACTCCTTTCTGAGGGACAAGTAGACTTATAGCTTAAAGGCACCAGAATTGTAACAATTTTCCTTCTGTGCAGCGTACAGGGAATTACATTATGTGTTGGGTTGAGGAAGTGCTGGAATAAATATTCAACAAAATGAAATTTTCTTAGACAATACATATTTTCCTCCACTGTTCTTGCACTTATTTGTAAGAGCAAGAACCTTCTTCCTAACAGGCAAGCCTCTCCTTTAGCTTGATCATTACTGTAAACGTGAAGTATTTAACTTATAACATCACTTTCCCCTTCGGATGAAGGTATGCTTTTTATATATGCATATATATAGAGAAAAAAAATACCTGTATATGTAAACAGAAATATATATATATATATATATATATATATATGTGTGTGTGTGTGTGTGAGAAATATACATATGCATATACATCCACACTCTTTCTGTTTACAGGCCTCGTGGGCTGTTGGCGTACCTAAGGACCTAGTGCTCTCAGAGCGCTGTGGGACTCATCCACAGGAATGCAGAAGTCCTGAATCACAGAGAACTGTCAGGGTTGCCAGCTCAAATATCCTGCAATTTCCTGTTGCTGTTCCATCACACAAGTCCCTGCTTAACCTAAGGAATTTAGTTATTGCCCCAACCACTCCCACTGGAAGACAATTCCAGAGCCTCACTGTAAGCTGGTGGCTAAAATCTCTCCTCTAAGTTCCTGATAAAAATTCTTTACTGGCCAGTTCATGCTCATTTTTCTCTTGTGCCAGTCCTTTTCTTTGGCTTGCTCAGTTCTTCTCTTTTGAAGACTCCTTTCATTTCGTTATAATTTGAAAAAGAGATCTTACTTCAGCTTTCAATTTTCTAAGCTGAACAAACCAGCTATTTTAGTTTCTTCTTGCAAAATATTTGGCATTAGGATTTCACTTCCCAAAAGAGGAGAATATGTATCATGGTGGAACTATATCCTGCATAAGTGTGTGGGCTGTGGCACACAGGACCCAAGTTCTGAACAGACACAGAAGGGCTATGTATAGGGTAAGAACAAGGTGAAAGTCACACAAACACGTTAGTGCAACGCCTTGTCTAAATGAACACACACTCCCCTCCTAGCAGGGGTGTTTAGCTTGAACTCAGCTGGGGCTTAGTTTGGTTTGCTTTAACATTGATCACAAGCAGCCAGAGGGAGCTTGCAGACACCTTCCTGCTATGAGCGGTAGAGACACCCCCAGAGAATACCGAGTGCTCCCCTGAAAGCATTCCCTGGCTTTCCCTAGAGTTAAGCTCCTATGTCTAACACGAATCTAGATCCTGATACATGAAATTGAATATTGAGATAAATACTCTGTTGTGAGGGATCCTACTGAATTGCTCACAGTAAGTGTCTGCTGGATTCAGAAGATAGGAAGCAGGCATAGGGAGAGAGACCACAGAAGAAATGGATTCCTGACTCTGTTATCTGACTATGGGTATATGATATGAGTTTTTAAAACATTTTCCTAGCTTCTCGATACACCTAATGGCTAACAGTTGTCTGGTGCCGAAGTATTACAGCTGAGATATAGTTAATGTAGTTTAGAAGAGGACAAGCTCAGTTCTTACTAGCAACCAAATAACTTTGCCCATTGATGCAAAACCCATTTACTGTAACACTACAAATGCATATCCATACATTTTTACATGGGGTCTGTAAGGATTCAACTACTTTAGCAGCATGGAAAACTTCAGCTATCCTCAGGGTGGCCCTGAAGAAACCTCAAACGCTGTGCAAAGCAATGCTCATGACTTACTGGGTGGCACACTCCTCTTTGAGTTGGCATAGAATTAAAGTCCAGCTGTGAGGCTTTGGGGCTTCAAAAGCAGTAAAAAAATTGACACCCCAAGCACCAGTGGTCTAAAGAAGACAGAAACTTTGTATTCTCTTAAGAAAGAGTACATTGAACTGCAAGCCCCAGCTAAATTCTGTTATTACGATTATTGCAGGATATATCACTGTAGTAAGAGCTCAGCATACTCTTCTGCTTAGTGGGTTCAATCTATTTATTGCTACAATATCTCCTTCTCCTCCGACATTCATTATTAAAGACATCCTTCTCGTTTTTTCTGGGATTCCAGGCTAAATAATTCATGCTTTGTCTACTCTCTACATTGGCAGTTAGCCAAGCAAAACTTATTCTCTACATGGAAACTTGTATCTATCTTCCTCTCCATTTAAGGCAGCTGCAAGGACTACAGATTGTAGGAAAAAAAAAAAAAAAAAAAAAAAAAAAAAAAAAAAAAAAAAGAGTTCTCAGTGAAAACTGCTGAGAGCTTTACATGTTGTTGCTACAAGCCTCAAAAAAATTTTCATGGGGTGATTCATAACCCACACTAGCTTTATATCAGACGTATTTTCTTAGAAGCAATTATTGATTAGTAACATGTTTCACACCCAGCTTCAAGCAGTTTACTTATACATCAACACAGAACAAGGAATTATGCTTCTTCAAAAAGTGGCCAGATAACCATTTGCATTTTTTTATGCAATATATCATTCTTGATTTATTAAGCAAAATCAAATGAAACAACAAGACCACTGACTTTTCAAAACCAGGTATTGGGGCTTTCTAAATGTATTTCAAAGACAAACACTCTCCCAGTGTCTAGCCCAGTACTGCAGAGAACAACATGGGGCAAAAGATCTTTGTCGTCTCAGGTCGTGCAGCACCAGTGTGGGATTCTCATGGCATCCTTCCCACTCTGTGGAAGGGAAGATGAAAGGATCTGTAGCAAAACAAATCCTCTTATTCACAGGCATTTACACTTAAAATGGGTGATTATGATCATCTGGTGAGACTTTTCATACACTATGGCCCAAAGGCATTCCTACCAACATTTCTGCTAAGAAACGAATAATTGGTGATTGACATCTACTGTATCTCTTGTTAAACCATTATGTGTTGCGAAGCTATTATCTCCACTGAATCATAGATTTCTGTTTGGATTTTGGATTTCTTTCTGCAGCTTTCACTGCTACATATGAGATCCTACAATGCCGCCTTCTACAAGATTATAAGGCTCCTTAGAACCGAATGTATTTTCCTGAGTTTATAAACAATACAAAGTGACGCAACTGCCTCTAACCTTTCTCCTCCTTTAAGCTAAGCAAATTTAGTAAATTTCTGGGAACTTGACAATGTTTCAAACTTTATCAGCATGGACTATCTTATATACTCCACACGGAACTGTATAGTCAACCCAAAATGAGCCTTGCGCCACACTCAAGCATTGGATTCACCGTGACTCAGTGGGAACTCTTGAGGAGAAAACTCAGTTACTTCACCTTCAACACTGATATTTATATTAAGGAAACTCTATCTGTGGAAAAACAATGCATATTTATTGCATACTCTTTATCACAGCCCTTGCTGACATAAAAAAAAAAAATAAAAAAATTCTAGTTTCATTCTACTCAGGTGTTCTCTAATATCTGCTTGAAATGGCACATAATTTCTTCACAGTGCCTTTAAAAATGAAAGACACTACAAGAAATTCAGGCCAGGCCAGATTTTTGCATCTGCCCTATTACTGCCATGAAATCTGTACTGTTTTCAGGAGTAGCCATTCTAATGCTCTTGTAGCTCTGTAGCCCAGTAATATGGTATTGTCACTGCTAGTACCAGGTCACATGCTTGGACCTGAGTTTGCAAGGCTTCAGGCTTTGTCTGAACTTGTCTTGACCTGCCAGGAACTTTGATTTAATTGCTTAAGCTGCAATAGCAGTTCTAGCAACCAGGTAGTTGTGGCTATTTTGTTTTATTCCCACTTGGTTTTGTATTGTACAACCTACATTTTTAGATGGATAGTAGTATTCTGTGTAGAATGACATATTTATAACGAGGAATTCAATTAATGTAGAGAAATACAGGCCTGGTACAACAGCAGATGCCTTGAAAAGTGGGGATAAAGGATGAGGTGTAAAGGACTATGGGCACGGTATGACAAGAGGTGGGACACAGGCTAGTACTGGCAATCCCATAGCTATAACCAACATGCTAGTGATCAGTTAAAGAAATGTACACCTGGAGGTGGACATAACTAGCTTTACGGGGAACAAAGAGAACAGATATCTAAACCATGTAAAATGCACCATCTACAGAAAATTTTGATGTAACATGACTTTGCAGCCCAGTAAAGAAAAAGCAAGGTAGAAATGAATGTTGGCAAACACATAAAAATGACCCCAACTGCAGCTTTGTAGCTTGACATGGGAAGAACTTATAATATAGTAAATGTTTAAACTTCCTCAGTGACAATGAGCATACAAAGATAAAAGGAACTAGCAGATTTCTCTTGTACTATCATCAAGTATATTATTTGTTTGGAACAGATCATACAAAACTAATTATTAACTCAGCTAGAAAAAGGCTTCAAGTTTCAGCACTGACTGGTCAAGATTTTTTAATGATTAAAGCACAATTTAATTTTTTAATATTATAATTTTAAAAGGCATCTTCTTATTCTTAAAACTGAAAGAAACAGAGGAAGACAATAGTCTCTTTAATACTAAGATATTTTAAAAAGACCACTGTTTGTCTAATACCCTGGGTTATTCCCAAAAGTCCTCAAGGCAATTCCTCTCTTCCATTAAAATAACAAAATATTGAAGCATAGAGCTAAACTTTGTCCCTATTTCCATTTCTGCAAACAACAATGATGCAGATGCATAAATGAGTGCAGAATTTGAAGACTGTGGGATCTCTGTTAGTGTGAAGACATACTGGATGTGAATGTTCCTTCTGTCCTAAGGATGTCCCTGATGTGGGACCCAGAAGGTGACCAGAAATGATTCAGTGGCTAGAAGACTATGACAGCCACAGCTTTGATTACTCTCTTTCATCCTTTTTCTTCTTTGGTTTTCTCTTCCATCAGGTGAAATAGAGTTTGGCACTGGAGGAATCTCTACAGAGATGACTTCCCAGGCTTCCCCTATATTCTAGTTTCAGAGACACAGGATAACACAAAGCCAGGTTTGTCCCAACTGAATAAATGTAAATAAGACAGCTAAGCAAAACTGTGGTTTCCGTGGGAGCCTTTGGGAACTCAGCTGGGCTTTCTTGCAATCCCCACACAGGCTGCTGCTGGCATAGTTCAACCCAGTGGTCTTCAAGGACAGTGACTACATCAACCTCAGTAAATACTACTCTTTCGTATAGGTTTTCTTTTAGCTTTTACGTAGAACATGAGAAACCAAGCTTTCAAACTCTACATTTATAGACAGAATCTGCAGGAGATTTTAGGATTAAATTGCAAATTCTCAGTTATTTTTCTGTGCCTGTAATGAGCTACTGTAAAGTAAAATAAATATTATCCAAACCTAGATAATAATTTTTAAAAATTGTATGTCTTTTAATTCATTTTCTGTTAGTTACCAGTACTAGAAACTATAAAACAATCTACATATCCTTAAATATTTTCCTTTGAAGAAAAGATGGCAGTAACCAAGTTTTTAAAAGCTTTTGTTATAACATTCCACACTTCTGACCATCATGCATTATGGCTCTATTATTTTCAACAAAAGCACTTAACTGCGTATGTCTTATCTTTCGGCATATTTATACTTCTCTAGAATAGATTATGGAAACAATTTTCAAGATCAACACATTTTTTGACTTATTTTGTTACAAAATGGAAATAATTGGACTGTAATGAATACAGACTGCTAATAAGGCTGCTATTAGATTTTAAGAACAGATGTCATCTTACCCAAAGAGCTACTATCCAGAACACCCTCCAAATACTTGACCATTGCCTCAATGTCACTGTCCTGTGGATAAACAAAATAAGGAATAGCATTAGTGGGAGCACAAACTTATGTATAAACACTAGGTACCAGAGGTATGATTCCACAAACATAAAGGATATCACACCAATGAGTGTCAACACTAGACTACAAAGAGTCTACATTGCTCAGGCCTTTTTCTTTTTTTCTTCTCCTAAAACACCAGTCTTGGGAACATTATTATATACAAACAATTATTTACATCAGATTCCTTGCAGAACACAAGTGTACAGAAAACCGTGCATGGAGTTTAAAGAAGACATGTTTACTGTGGAGGGTGGTGTATGATAAAACACACCAGCATTTTATCATCAGATAGTCCTGGAATATCTAAAACAATACTACATTGAAAAAGGCAAGTATGTACTTCTTAACTATGCCAAAATTTCTTATGCCTGTGACAGCTGTCCTCTGCAAATTGATACTTATTTGCATGTCATTGCATCTACTTACATGTCTAGTAATAACAACTAATTGAAAAAAATTTAATTAAGAAACTTTAACTCTTTTGTATTTCAAATATTCTGTTACCGGACAGATAATTAACAGTTTTGCCATGATATCTTTCATGTGAAATCCTGCTTGTGTACACAGACAAAATTTAAAGATCTGGCATTAAGCAATGATTGTGGTCCAGGAAGTAGATCACAATTCTATTAAAGTCCAAGAGAAACTTGGACTCTGAGTTTCTAGAAGCTGCTGCCATATCACATTTGACAACATGGCATTTCTTCACTACTTAAAAGACTTTGACTGAAAGTCAAAATCTTGACCCTTGCTGAAATATCCGTCAAAAATCTGTATTTTAAAAAATTTTGAACAGCCTATGGTTTTAAAATTTAAAACACTGGAGTAAAAAGAAACAATATGGACCTCAGCTTCTACAATAGACAATATGGTTTATATTTCTCTGTCATCTTACTCAAAATGCTCATTCTAAATTTCTCAAGCTGAGGAACTGCCAGTATGCCTTAACAGGATAGCAATAATTGTTGGCAATGACTGTTAACTGGTTAGTGACCTTCTGGTGCGAGTGAGAGCTGTTACGGATGAGCATGATGTAACTTCTAATCACTCTAAGTTGTTTCATGGGCTTACATTTGAGACAGACTCTGCTATTTTAGCTGAGGTTTACAAGATGGGAATCAGCTTCTTGGTTGGCCATTTCAACAGAAAACCCAAGGACTCATAGGTTTGAAGGTGCCTCTTTGCCCTTTTGGAGCAGCCTGTGGTGTCCCGGCTGGATAGTCAGCACTGTAGTTTCCAGTTCTGCAGCCCATCAAAAGTACCTGAGTTACCTCAGATGACCAAGTTAATCTGAACCTGCCTAACTGAGGCTTTTGCTAGTTAGCAATAAAGTGCCCAGAAGATGCTAAAAAATTCATTACATTTATATATACAATAAGTGTTGACCATTTAATTAAGACTTAATATTACAGATAGAATTTCTCTGTTAAAAAAAAAAAAAAAACACACCAAAAAACAACCTTTAGGACTTCATTTAAAAGTTATTAAATTTTTTTCATTCAAAACTAAAATTTGACATTTATTTTCTGCTAATATAAAGATTATTTTTATTATCACTAGCAGTTAACTGCAAATCTATAGACAGACAGACAAAAACATGGTAAATGGCCACATACAATACTAATACAATTGCTTCAATAAAAACCTTTTTCCTTTTTTAATGACATAAACACTGTAATTCCAAAAGCTTTGACTTCTCAGAACAGGACATCATATTTGCTCCAAATATCACAACAGAGCTGATTTTTTCTCATTATCCTGTGAGGCAAAAGATACACTTTCACCACTTTCATCACTGCTAGTTTTCAAGGAAACTAGCTGGCTTAATCTTGCTATCTTGCAATAAAATTTAAATGAGGAAGAGAATGTAGTTTTCACACAGTGGTAAACAGTTGAATAAATGATTAATCAACTTACACCGAGATAGAAACTACCTATGACTTTTCTCCACTTGTGTTTAGCAATCCAACAGGATTTTAGCTGTTTTATTTAATATGCTTCTCTTTGTTGCAGACACAGCAAAGCCCCACAGGCAAGGGACTCCGACAGGTGCACAGTAGCGAGGCACTCTTACGCATAAGAGCCAGCATGGATGAATGCTTGCACTTTTCAAATTCAGAATGAACAAACCCTTTCTAACAGCAACAGGCCATGCCAAGGCACGTATTAAGAATCCAGCGGAGCATTTTTTGGGTGGCAGCACGCAGACCACCCACAGCCACTGGAACTTTGATAATTTATGACAGTTGATTATTTGGTTTGACAATCTCAGCAGCGACCTGGAAATTGAAAATAGGAAGCTAACATACCACATTTGTAGACTTTGTTACAATGAAGAGGGCAAATTTGGTATTATTGTCACTAAAAGAAAATGCAGCGAACAAGGTGATAAACTGCAGTAAAAAGCAGCCTCTCAGCTAAGTCAAAACCAATGAAAGCTTCACAGTGCACAAACTTATCTCTCCTAAACTTCATATTTCTTAATTCTTTTTAGAAACAGTTTCTCATTCTCTTTCATTTCCCCCCCCCCTAATTAGAAATCAGTGTTCCTAGGGAAAAAAACATGTAGAAAAGAGCCATTGGCCTGAAGAAGTCGAGGTCTGGAAAAGTAACTGGCAAATTGCTGCTTGAAATCTGGCAATCTGCATTTCTGCTTCAAAAGACAGGGACAAAGGACACTAAACTCCAATGCTACAACCAAGATGAGAGGTCCAGATGTGCCTAGGGTCTGAAATTCCACATTTGCAACTGGACAATGTAGCTGAAAACATACAGGCCCTATTGAAAGATATCAACACCGGAAAAATAGCTGTCCAACTCCCACCCAAAACCTTCAACATCATACCATTCCAGTGCCTAACTAAAGAGATGTTGCATCCCATGTAAGGCTCCTACTTCTCAGTCTGTCTTGACATCTGTGGAAGCCTAATATAGCCTGAATAAATAGCCCAGATCTCTTTCTACATCATGCACCCCAATGTGTTGTTCAATTAGATGACTCTTCTGACCCCGTTCTATTGCATGAACATCAGATTTTTTTTTAATCATTGTTTGAAGTAATGGGGTCACCGGGGAGCACTGCCAGATACAGCATTTCCACACTCTCTGCACAGAAGTAACTACTAAAGCAATCTTGGCATTGGAAAATTGAGAGATTTGCACAGATTAGGAAGTCCTTAGCCTGTGTTGTGGTGGAATGACTTCTTTATTAGCACACACCTCCAAAAATTTAATTTATGAAGGTATTTTTGAAGAAAGGGTTTAAGAGTATAAATCCCATCATAGAAATAGGAGTAGGAGTTTAGGTATTAAGTATATGACTGACAAAGCAAACCTCTGCTATATGCTAGCAAGATCAAATCTATTCTGGTAGGATTTGAAGCTTATTAATACTGAGCATGATCCCACCTACTTTTGAGTGGGATTCATCTCAGATAACTGTTGACACTCAGAATGAAGATATCCCATGCATGCTAATGACTGTAGATCCCCTTATAATCACCAGAAAGAAACCTGTTGGCATCCTCCATCTGACCTACATTAGATATCTACAACAAAACAACATTATTTGCTGAAAAAAAGCTTGCTTATTTTCCCTTGCTACACAGACTTTCCATAGAGTTAGTTCAGACATAGTTTCCCAAATCTGCACAGCTGAGTCTGCTTTGCCCTTGGACTTACTGCAGAATTTTTCATCTGAGAAAGGGAAAATTGAAAAGTATGCTCACTTGCCAAGAAACAGAAAAGGCAATTGTGTCAATGCCCAGAAACACACTTCTGCTTTATCTAAGCTGCTGGGGTCAACATGGAACAAAGACAGACAATTAGTGATAGAGGAAGACCTAAAAGGCAAATGGTCACAGGGGGTGCTTCCCAGTCAGTCTGTGCAGGCCAGTTTGCAGAGGGTTAATGCTCTGTGTGCACACAGACTGCTGGTAAAGTGAAGCCTCAGGGCAGTCAGGGCTGCATACAGACAAGAGGGTGCCAGTGGGACACTTCCAGCCCACTGTGCTGGTTCTTGTCATTGTGGAATCCTGAGTCACTGCAAAAAGAGGAAATGTCACAGCTCAGATCTGACTGCCAACACCTAATTTATTCTGCATTATTGAGAAATCTATTTTTGTCTTCTGCCCTTCGTTAATTCCAAGCAGCCGTCCACCTGTTCAAAACCACTATTGATTGACACTTGATACCATTAATGAAAGCAGAATGAATTTTAAAAGGTGTTCTAAAAGGAGAAAAAATTTAAAATCTCAGAGTCTGATGAAAGTGAGGAATAATTTATTTTCAAGATCATCTTGTGGTAGACTTTCTGGGTAACAGTGTTTGCATGTGTTGTGGGTGAGCACAGACCCAGCAAACTGAAAAAAAGCATCATCTTAGTTATTCCAATCATTTACAGTTGACTAATAATTTCTTTAGACCACTATTTTTAATTTTAAAGCATCCTGTGTATTTAGTTTGAAAGCTAGGTGGACATTTCTAGATTGAATGAAGCTGTTTCTGAGTAAACTTTAAGTTTAACTGGCGAGACAATTTCAGGACTCCCCGCTACTGTGGTAGAAGTGGAGTTCTGATTTCTCAAACAAACATTTTATTTTTGCCTTAAAAACTGCATCTTAAAGAAGTTATTAGATCAAAATTTTCAAAAATCAGTACAAGTAATTTATAATTTAGTGAAGAGTATTAGTATACTTGGTTGGCTCCCTGAAATGCAGGAGACCTCACTCTCTGTTCTGCAAAATTTGCACATGAACATGGAAAAACATGTATGATTCTAAGCAGAACCAGACAGTACTATTCAGAAGCACTGTATGCTTTAAGCTGGTGGCCCAGGGGAAAGATGAACTGTTCCTGAACACCTTGGAAGATCCATTTTCAGAACTGACTTGGGCATTTAAGTTCATTGATTTCACTGAGACTTGATCACTGGAGACAAGATTCATTTCAGCTCATTCTGATCAGGTCTAAATTAGGTGCCTTTTCCAATAATCTTCAACCTTCTTCACTCTGAAATCCCTAAGAGTTTCTTGTGGCAGTCTCACATGATAAAGCTACTTTAAGCCTTTCAGTAATAAGTTTTCTCTTCACTGACACTTTCTGAGATTCTTGGGAAAGTCTACAATACAGACTTGCTGGTGAAGTTCTGCAGTTGTTTAGGGACATAGTTCATCACACTGTCACAGAAAATATGTCTAATACAGGCAGGAAGAACTGGAAACTAGAGATGCCTATCTTTGCCTGGAAATTAGAGTTGAAACTTAGATCTTATGCTTGAAGTGTACTTTCAGCTTTAACTTACTTTACCCGTACTAACACATGAGAACACCCCACTCTGGGTGTATTACAGTCATGAGGAACTTTACTGACAACGATCCACGTTACGGCATTTATAGCAGTGTTATCCTTAATCTTGAAGGAATGCAAGAATCTTTCTCATCAATGTCTCAGAAGAATTATATATGTATACACATTTAATTAATTCATGGTATTGATACACACACATTCCTAACAACAACAAATTTCAGTAATGTTAGTAGGATAAAATTTTGGAAGGAGTTTAATTCTCCCATAGAAAACAAGCATCAAGTGTATACTGTTTTCCCAAAGGTCACATATACCTGGTGATTTGTCTTAGAAGCAGTCTGTGACGCTTCCACATCCTCCTCCTCTTCACTGCCTTCTGAACAGGATTCAAACTCATCATTATAATATTCTTCTGCAATTTCTGGGTCTTCGGGGATCTCTAAAGGCAATTATGAGTTTATAGCATGTAGCCAGAAACAATGTGTGATCTTAAAAAGATAAAACAGACTTTATATCACCCATGTTATATCACTAGCAATGCATTCTGTAATTGAAATCAAGGCATAGGTTCTCAGATTAAAATGTTCATCTTTGATGACGCGATAAGCAGTGTTAAAGCTCTATCTGGCAAAAGGTCAGTTCCTCATCATATATAAATTAATGACCTCAAAGGATCTATATTGATTTGGGGCTGAGATCACTGAACCATAGAATAATTCAGGCTGGAAGGGACCTCATGGGATCATCTAGTCAAAGCAGGGTCAGCATTGAATTGAATCCAGATTTTGTGAGCTGAAATTATGCCCCAGACTGTTTTTGACTCTAACACACATAACCTGTGGTGAATACAACTGCTAAGCTAAAATGGAAAACCATATATACCAGCCACATGCTTAAAAGATATAAGAAATAAAATCTATATCTTTTTTCCAAACTTTCCTGAAGCAAAAGCATAACAAAATAAAACTGATGTAAGTCAAGCTATGCATTGCTCTCATGCTCTTTTGATTTATTAATATCGCAAGTTTTAGTAATAGCAATGAGTGCAATATCAATATAGCCAATGAGCCTATGAAGTACAGTAATTGTTATTGAAACTCAAGATATTCATCACAGTATGAAAGACACCCCAGTCACTCTGCTCTGGGTGAAATCCTTTAGCATCCCAGACTCCCTAAGTAAGGAGTTAGTGAAACAGCTCGAGGCCTGATTGCATCTGCTTCAGGGAGCTGTTCTGTCACAGCAGAAGCACTTAAGCACATGTTGAATTTTAAACAGAGGCTGGACTGTGGTCACTATTTGAATTCCCACTTTTCTAGACAGAAAGCTGCAAGGCAAAGAGACACGGCTCAGCAGCAAGAGACAGGATGAGATGACAAGGGAGCCTGGCTCGCCAGCTGTCCCATCAGTAGCTCTAAGATTCATGAAGAGAAATGCTCCAGGGGTGCTGACCCCATGCTTTGATTTCAGGTGGTCCCTTACTGACATCAAAATAAGTTACATCCAAGCCAAGAAACACTGTTTTGATGCTAACAGTTTTCAAAAAGAAAAAGTTTGGTATCTGTCTTTTGCAGTATTATTACAAGAAATGTTAGCTGAAGATAAAAAACACTTAATATTCATCTGTCATAAATCACCATAGTCCTAACTTTAGCTAATGCTGATTTCCGCCATTCTACCCAATTAAATCTACCACTTTAAAGAAATATACTGCATTGAAAGAAATGAAATTCTAACAATATGGCATAAAGAATGCTTAATAGATGGTGGCATTTTTTATTTGTTTCACATGGATAAAAAAATCAGAGGGATTTAAACAGGACAATACAATTAAAATCCATTAAAAGCCATTGGACTTTGAGCAGGAGGAGTAATTCTAATCTTTAAGGCATAAGAAAGAGAAGTCAGAAAATAAGGGAAAATCTATTTATCTGCAGCACTAGGTGGTTGAGCTCTCCTGTTGAGATACAATCTCTACTCTCTACTGTCTCCACTCCAAACTATTTTTAAAAATACTTCCTTTTTTATAAACTTAATTTACCTCCAAAATGCTGACACATTTTCACTCAAACTTCTCTGTTTTAATATATTTATGGAAGCTGCATAACAGCACCATACTCCACTGCCACAATTTCTAATCCTTCCTGTTTCTATTTTTCACCTTTCTTAGTTTGGAAGAAAAAAAAAAAAAAAAAAAAAAAGAAAAACAACAAAAAAAGGATCAATTCGTGGGATTCCAGGAGAACCACCCCCACCCCAAATTTTTTTCCCCCAAAAGGAAGCAGTTATTATTGTGTTTAATTGTTTGAAACAAAACTTCTGCAGCAGAACCCAGGGTACTCTTCCTCTTCACTTCGACTGCTGGACTGGAAGAAGAGGAGCATCACATTTGAGAATGTCCTGACACCGTCTGCAGCCCACTGGACCCTCTTGCTCACACTGCACTCCTGACCTGCCCAGCGCAGTGAGCCCAAATCACCCCGTTCCCTGCATGCAACAGAGTCACCCTGTGCAGGAAGCAGAGACTGATTTCCTCACAGACCCTTGCAAAAGAAAGGTGATGGTAACATCCAACATAAAGTTTTCTAAAACTGCACCAGCTGGTAGAACATGCAGCCTGATGGCTGCAACACCGCAGTAATACCTTTGTCCCTCAGGTGCCTCTTCTCCCCCTGATAAAGCATATGCCCCGTATGGAGAACAAAGAAAGGTCTCTACAGCTACTTCTGCCCCCTCACGCCCCCTGATCTGTCAGCTGATCTCTGAAAATACCCTTGTGTTTTATCTAGCTGTGCATATTACACTAAGGCCAGTCATGGTATCTTTTATTTGCTTACAAAGCACTTCACTCAGAACAAACTCAAGAATTATTTACCTATTGCTAGGAGGCTTAGCTATAGCATCAAGACACTTGATAGTTGCTATTAGATATTCAAAAGAAAATGAGCTCTGAATAACAACATTCCTCTTTAGATTTCTTTCTATATAGTAACATGATGCTAATAGTGGAAGGAAGGGTAAAAACCCATCATCTAAAAAAATCATAAAAGCACGGTTATTTCCCAAGAAGATAAGCTATGAAGAAAACAAAGGAATGCAATACTTGTAATATTTTGCTTAAATCCACCAAGAACTTGTTTCAGGTAATATGGTAACTTGGCAACAACAGTTTTCTCCAAAGAGATGAAAATACTTTGATAAATATCTTTAATTTTCTCTTGCCTTGAAGTCATAATTGGTTCATTGATGCAGCATTCTCCTATTCTAGTGAATGCAGAAAACAATAAGTAAGGCCCCTTTTATTTCAAAAAAGGAGAAAACAGTATAACATATGTTCATTGTCACCACTTGTATTCACAGTAACAAAGTAACACTTGGCTCTTAGGGACTACTGTACGTTTTCAATCTCAAGGTTTCACCTCGTTTCTGGAAAAAAAGCAGATTTTCTTAGCTGTCACTTTTTGTTCTTAAGTTAAAAAAATGCTATAGTTCCATGTAGCTACACTCCTCGGTCTGGGCAGTATTACAGACAGCAAAGTGAAAAGCAAATCATTCAACTGCTCTGACAAACCTATACTGTCATGAGATAAAATGCGTTCTTAACATTATGGTGACATGAACCAAGACACTCAAAAGTGGTGTTACTATCTCTGCTACTACACACCACCACAGAGTGCTCAAAAAATTAAAAGGAGGGGCCAGGACACAGACACTTGCACTGCCCCCCTGCAAGGCTGTGTACATGGGCCACGCTGGGGACTGAGGCAAGAGCAAAGCATCCCTCTGCCTTTTCCTTCTGCATTGCTCTAGGCTGCAAGATAGCCCACCGGCAGGACCTCATCAATAGTGTGAAGGTGTCCCTGCTCCTTTCCTTTCTGTGGAAACTCATCATCAAATTACAGTTTGATCCCCTCTGAGCAGGAATTACCGATGGGAGCAAATGCCCCCAAGCTGGGCAGGGGGCTGGAGCGCCTGGGTGCAAGGAAGGGCTGCAAGAGCGGGGTCCATTCAGCCCTAAGAAGGGAAAGTAAAGGGGAAACCTAATTGCTGCCCATGACTATCTGTATCAGAGGATAAAAGGAAGATGGAGCCAGACTCTTCTCAGAGGTGCAAGAGGCAAGAAACATCACCTGGAACATGATAAATTCCAATTTGATGTTAGGAAAAAAATTTTATAATAAGAGTGATCAAATACTGCAACAGGGCTTAAAGAAGCTGTAGGAGCTTAGTCCTTGGAGGTGTTCAAGACTTGACCAGACACAGCCTTGACCAACCTGACCTGATCAGACCTGCTTTGAGCAGGGGGTTGGACTAGACTGACACAGATCCCTTCTGACCAAAATTATATTATGATTCTGTGGTCACATGATGCTCCACAAACAAACTGTTTAGAATTACCCCAGATCTATCTGCGTGTGTGCACATATTTAACATACAGACTCACAAGCTTAGCAGAAACTTGCCTGTTTCTGTATGGCTCTGCAATGTGTACACATTCTCACAAATCACCGGGAAAAGGAGATGGTGAACATCCATGAAAGGAGGCTGGCCAGCACTCCTTGGAACAGTGCATCAGTTACCGCAGAGGGCGAAAACAGAAAGGGATTTCTCCCTTCAAGGGAGAAAACAAAAAGAGCTTAAGCACTGTCACTAAGAAGCGGTTTGAAACATAGAGATATGTTTCCCTCAGTGACATAATACTGAATGGGAAATTCTACCGAAAAGGAGAGCAAGGACTCTGCACCCCACGTCAATAGTCATACGATTAGGAAAAATAAGATAATTCCATTATTATCATTTACGCTCACTCTGATTGGTTTGTTTGGTTTTTATTTTCCAGTGCAAGACAAAAACCTTCAACTTTAAGTTTCCATCAAAGAGAATTGCCATCCTTTGGTCAGCTATAGACAAGATACACATTATTAAGCTCTGAAGTTTCATTGTTAAGAAAGTCAGTGGAAAGTTTTGTCCAGCTCTTCTAAACTAGGCTGAAAAAGACTCTCAGAAAATATTTTAAGAAATTAACTAAGGGATGTAACAGGACTTTTGTGCCCATGAAAGTCTTGTACGATCCTTTTGGCTAAGCACAAAAGGACTATGAAACCATTAAAAATTACCATTAAAATTACCTTCTGACATGGCTATGTAGAGCACAGATGTGAAGTAAAATGGGTTTTTCTATGTAAGAACTAGAAATATAACCGAAGTTACTTTAAAATGCTGAAAGGAGAATTATAAAAAGGAAAAAAGCTTCAATTCACTTGTGGGCTTGGAAGGAAGCTTGGAGGAAAAACAGACATAAAGAGGATGTAAGTAAGAGTAGCCTTATGGAGATCTTCTACAACTTGATGTTAGAAATACCTAGTTACAAAACATTTTCCCAAGAAAAATCATTTACTCGAAATGAAATTTCCAAGAAAAATGTTTTATTTGAAGGAC